CCCCAAAACCCCAAAACCCCAAAACCCCAAAACCCCAGAGAAGAGGAGATTAAAATTTTAGGGGGTTTAAGATGATGGGTGAGGAGAGGAAGTCTGGGAGAAGAGGGTTCGTATAGGTTATTAGGGCGAAGTTCGGTTTTGAGGGGATTTGGAGTAGGGTTTTGGGGTTTAGGGAAGTGGAGAGGGTTGGTGGAGAGTTGGAGTTGTCTGTTGTTGTTCAGATGTGGAAAAGCTAATGGAGAGTGAAATCTCGTGGACGAGCTCATTTGACAATGGAATCTTTAAAATCAATATAAAGGACGTATTTTAGATCTTAATAGGCTTATTTTATAGTAAATTTTAATTAGTTTGAATTGATATCAAAGCGTGTCGTCACCAACGAGGAAATTCTTAGAATCATAAAACCTTGTATACGTCATCATTTTCGTGGCCACGTGTACTATATATTTACTCAAAGATATGTTCATCTTTCAGTTTGTCTCAAAACCTTGCTTGCCTACATTTATATGCTAATGATTTTTTATGAAATCATATCTTTGTTGAGTTAAGCCCAAGTACTTTTCAAAGCTTCTTTTGTAAATTCTTCACTTTATAATAGAAAATTCAGATAATTTTAATTGATGATTTAAAACTTTAAAATAAAATTTGATGCCTACCAACTAAAAGTTCCATTTAATATATAGTTGATCCTCTTATTAACAAAAAGAAAAGTTTTAAATCAGCGCTTTAATATAAATTAAATAGATGATGCATTAAATTTGAAGAAAATGGAAAAAAATCCGAAGAAATTGCAAATGCGAGCATTAAAATAACAGAAAGCTTTGAAGATTAAACTACTCCACTAAACAACAATAACCATCCTTCCTCCAAAATAATAAAACTCAAAGCTCTCAAACCCCAAACTCCCAACACCTACCAAATCAGTCTTCTTCCCACAATCCCTTCCTCTCCTCCAACCCCTCTTCAAACCCTCCTTCCTCCCTCTCAATCCCCAAAACCTCCCAAATGGGATCCAAATAACGCTACCATCATCCCTGAAAGAAGTGTGCATTTTCCACGTCATTTCACTCCCTAAACTATTCCAATCTGCCTTATTCCACCTGGGGTTTTGGGGTTTTGGGGTTTTGGGGTTTTGGGG